AGCCTTGTTCTTCGCCAGTTCTTTCATTGCAGCTTTGACTTCTTCCTTCATTACCATTGGTTCTAGATCATATGCCACTTCTTGAAATGGATGAAGATCGATCAGTTCTTTTTAGCCTTTTGAAACTAACCTATCCACATAGCACAATTTCAAAATATCAAGATTCCAACTTCTGTGGTTTTCCCCATGGCTACATCAACACATATGAATCAATGAAAAGCCCTCATCACGGCTAACCCATATTTGGAAGTTGCCTTTCTTCATCTTAGAAATTTCTATTTTAACTTCAGCTACCTGGTTTTAGCATTTGTTAATTTTCTACAAAATAAAAAGTCGTGTGTATTCTCAACAACACAAAAAGAAAACAAATTATTAAACAAGTAAAATGATAAGAAATGCCAATCAAAAGGAGAAAGGCTCTAGAACAAGGTATGAGTCAGGAAACTTGAGAAAGGAAGCGCCACTTCTTCATTCGATTTAGGAGAGATGAAGGGTAAGACAACGAGTCCTGAGAGAAGCAAGAGACCTGGGTTCTGCTTCTGCCTTTGATCAAATGTACCGGTGAGATTTCTTTTGGTTTCACTTATTATCAAAGTACGTAAACAAGATCTCTAAGGTTCAAAATAATGTGTAAAACCCTACAACTCCAGAATCAATTCATTTAGTCAAAAATAAGAAAATCCAAACACTTACTTTTCCACAGATGAAAAAAATCTCTACTAATTCCTTTCCTCACCAAGTCTCTGTCACAATATCATTACTTCTCTATTTTTCATGAATTTTGAAAAGACTGATGGGATAAGGATGGAATTTAAGCATTTAGACTAGAGCACACTGGGAACACATCAGGAGGTGGCTTCATAAGAGAAGCAGCACTCCTTTCTGGAACGTCAATTTTATTTGCTGGTTATTAAAAACTCTCATATTTATATTAAACCCAATAAAACAACATTATGAAACAGAAAGAAAATTCATATGAATTTTTATGTTAATACTAGAGACATGAAAAAAAATTCCAATCTGTCATTTTGGGCTATATCTCTGATCCTTCAGGATTATGAGTTCATTGTTATCAGCAATTAGGCAGGGCAAAAGTTTGAGAAGGACTACAGATTTTAAGTGTAACTGTGATTAACAGGTACAATTCCTCTTACTTACAACTGATAAAGCAGCCTATTTGTTTAAAAGAGAACTGCTATATTCTCAAGGTGAACGAGCCTATAGAGAGAATCCCTGAAAGTGCCTACATGAAAGCAGCAACAATATCATACCATATAAAACCACTTTGCTTTCTATAATGATAAACAACTATAGATGTTTCCTTCCATTATACAGTGCCTCACTATAAATAAAACCAATGAAATCCATTGCTGTTGAGCTGTTAAGTCAGTTTCAATTCATAGCGACACTAGATGACAGAGTAGAACTGCCCCATAGAGTTCATAAGACTGTAAATCTTTATGGAGGCAGATTGCCACATCTTTCTCTTGTGGAGTGGCTAGTGGGTTCAAACTGCTGACCTTCGTTAGCAGAGAAACACTGTAACCACCATCAGGGCTCCTTTTGCCTAGAAATAAAGCAGTGATAAAAGCTACCCCATGAGGGTGTTGTTAAGAATGAGACAACATACCAGATGCTTGGCATACAGTAATGATTGAAAAATGATAGTCACATCTTATTACCAGGGATTCTATTCTTGCCACTCAATTTTTCTTAGGAGTTATAATAAAAATGACATTCATTATAATCTGACATTAAATGTATCATTTTCCAACACTGTAGTTTTCAGGACAAAACTATCCATATTTATATTCAGATGATCTTTAATACTCTTTACCCTTGATTTTAACTTGAAAGCTAATATTCAATAATTAAATCATTTGTAGAATAATTTAGTAAACAGCTATTTAAGTAAAATTTAAAAATTACCCCTATATTAAAAAGTAACACTGAATTAATGCTTTTAATTCCTTAAAAAGTACTAACCTGTTTTCTGAACTAGATGTAGAAGGACTAGATGATGACAATGTATGAGAATTTGACATGCGTGAAACAAACTTCTGGATGGTGTTACGAGATGGAGCTTTGATCCTTGAGCTACGCCTACTGTGATATTTCTCGAACAAACTCTCAACCTAACATTGAAAAAAGACAGTAACAATGACATCTGTGCCATATTTATACACATGAAAGAGTTCTAGAGGTTGAATTGTTTCGTCAGTTTTCCACAAAGCTTATTTAACGGCTTCAAAAAATAGTAATACGTACAGCTTACCGAGGACAACATTTTTATAGCAGGTCAGCATTTACTTATTTTTATTTGTTTTCAGTTTAGAAAAAAAAACTGAGTAGTCAATGGATCACAGTCATCAAATTCTTAATATACACCTTCAAAATGACCATATATTTATTTACATTTAGCACTCATGGAAAAATTTCAGGAATTAACAATTAAATTTGTCGGCAATTTAACTCCAAAGCATTTGTAAAAAACTACCTCAAAATTCTTTAATGTTTTTCTCCATAACATTGGATCTGAAGGTTCTAGTTGAAACACCCGGAGCATAACAAATAACAGATGAATACAAAATGTTCCACGTCCACAGCTGCAGTTCTAAAGGGTTAAAAGAAAACCCATGGGTTAAGTAAATTCATAGCGCTACCAGAACTTCTATTTATCATATCTTCCTATCTCCAAGTTTATGCTGTTAAATTTTCTATTAATTTATATTATTCATTATTCTTATATATAATGCAAAAACGTCTATAGCTATCTCCATGAATTAATCTATTTTTATGGAATTTATTAAATAGATCAAATTTGTATTCCAAAATGAATTAAGTAATAAGAACCAGTATGAATATATTAAATAATTTTTTTCCACCCAATATACATTTTGAACTCATTTTAGTTTGCTTTTTTTTTTTTTTAGTTTGCTGTGTAAGGAATTAATTTTAGAAAGATTTACTGTAGAAATCTGAGTTAGTAGTAGATACTACATCTCAACATAAAGACAACATGTCCTTACAACTGGACCAATATGGGAACATCATGATAAAGGGAGAAAAGGCTAACATCTAGGATTTCATTTTACTTGGATCCACAATCAACACCCATAGATGGAAGCAGCAGTCAAGAGATCAACTGATGTATTGCACTGGGCAAATTTGCTGCAAAAGACCTCTTCAAAGTGTTCAGAAGCAAAGATTCAAAAAGTCACTCTGAGGACTAAGATGCACCTGACTCAAACCATGGTATTTTCAATTGCCCCACATGCATGCAAAAGGTGGACAATGAATAAGGAAGACCAAAGAAGAATCTATGCCTCTGAATTTTAAGTGTCGGTGAAGAATATTGAATACATGGACTGCCAGAAGCATAAACAAACCTGACTTGGAAGAAATAAAGCTAGAATGCTCTTACAAGCAAGGATAGCGAGACTTCATTTCATGTAACCTGGTCACCAGAGAAAGACATCTTGTTACCAGAGAAAGACATCACGCTTAGTAAAGAAGAGTGTCAGCGAAAAAAGAGGAAGACCCTCAATGAGATGGAGTGACACAGTGGATGCAATAATGGGCTCAAATGTGGCAACAACTGTGCAGATGGTACCGGAGCAGGCAGTTATTTCACTCTTTCGTACACAGGGTTGCTAGGAGTTGGAACTGACTTAACAGCACCTAAAAACAATAACAACAATGACAAGCAGGTACTAATAAAATATAAAATGTTGACAAACTCTACCTGAGGCCCAATAAACACCCGGTATTTATTGTCTGGGCTGTCTCCTCCAATCAGGAAAGAGTTAGGTCCTATCTGCTGCAGTAAGTACAGCCTGGCCCGCATCACTTTGTTTATACGGCGGTTTGTCTCTTCGGGGCTGTACGGTGAGAAGCCATCTGGAGAAGGGGCTCTTCGGGGTGGTGTGACTCTCCCACTCTGAAACTGCACAACAGTTTTTTTATTTTTTCCAATGAGGTAAGTTTCTTATTTCTCAATGAGAAATTTTTACCCCCCCCACGCCCCCACCCAAAGACATTATCAGGCAGCTACGTTTACATGATATTCTGAAGGAATGACTCAATATACAAAATACAGTGGAAGAAAATTGGGCAAAAAGCTTTTGCTGGACATACTCATCCCAGATAAAGTGAACTTTTAAAATCTCAGTTATTCCTATAACTGATGATAAACCTTTGGTTAAGAAGACACAACCAGGTGGTAATTTTAAAAACTATTCTAGAAACATTTCAGTTCTTTAAAAATTATTATGTGAACTGAAATGAAAAGCTTTAAAAATACACATCACAAGCAAACAAAATAACTTGTGTCCAGTGGTCAAATTATATATACTTTGTTCCTGGCTTCTACTTAAGGTTTTACTAAATATGCTTCTGTAACTGGTAATTTGAAAACATGAACATGGAGCACCTCCCACAGTATACTCTGTAGAGAACACACACACACACACACACACACACAGATATGTAGCCGGAAAGGGAGGAGTATTTTAATAGTCTTTTCAGATTTATGAACGTTCCTCTTTAATATTATACCAAGTTTGACAAGTAGTTTCCTAAAGGCAGCTGTAATATGGAATCTGAAACCACATCAACAAACTTCCTATTCTGTTACCAAAATCAGGTGGTATACTTTGTTCTTTGAATGCATGTATCTTTTATCTAAGCACGATTTTGTATTACTATACACTGGATATTTGAAAAATATTGGTTCATTGAGTTACACAGAAATTCCAAATGTTAACACAGTTCACTATATTATGAAAAAAAAAATCACATTTGCTAGTATCACTAATCTCATTAGAAAAATCAAGTGTTAGGAAGCCATGAAGTGTACAGTGGTGGATATGAGTTTTCCAAAAATTCTAATTTTAGCTTGAAAGCTTGAATTTTATCACTGGAGAAACTATTGATTTGCCTTGACAGTCTCACATAATTCATTTCAGGAAAATATCTGCCAATACTCAAGTCTGAATAATCACAGTTTGCCAATCAGTCATACTTTCAGATAAAAATTTTGCTCTATGAAGAAATGACTATTTCAGCTCACAATTCTAACACCTGCTTTTCCCTGAGGTAACTACTGCATTTGGTATGTACCAGAATGCTTTACGCATGCTTCCCATTTCAGTACACAAACATTAAAATAAAGCATGAATCAAGGGTTTAATAAAAGCTGTAATGAAATTAATTTCTGCTGCTTCACTAAAGGCATTAAGTGAAACTGGCATCTGTTTTTGAATTGTAGTATATGACACTGAAGAATATAATTTCGAATGTTATGGCCCTAAATCGGACAAAGGCACCAGCAGCTTTACCTGCCCTTGCCTTTGTTATCACCAGTGCAAATGTCAGTGCAGTGAAAAAGGCAAAACGGCATCTCTGTTTCATTACAAACATAGTTTTGACCTAACTGACCTCTAGACCTCAGGTTGTCCCCTCCTCCTATGACCAGGGTGCTGCTGTAACAGATGGCTGGTCAAGCTTCTGTGCATTAAAAATGAGTTTGAAAATTGTAGATGCTTAACATATTTGTTGGAACACATACTTACAGGAACTGGGGAAACTCTTTTTCTCCTTACTCCGGGAGATTCTGATTTCACTGTGCGACCTGACGGAGAGCTGCCCGGAGAAGGGCTACGTCGGCCTTTGGGAACAGGTGAAGCGGCACCTGTCTGGCTCTCTGCTTGAGGTTCAGCTGCCAAGTTACTCATTTCAGATCCATCTCCTTTAATAGGGATTGGTTTTACCACCTGAATCAAAAGTATCCCAATATTTTGATTATTAAAAAATACACATGAAAAGTAAGATAGAGTCTAATAGATTAGGAATGAATCAGCGAGTTTTTATTATGACATATTACAGAGGCATACCAGAAATATATCAACTTTCTTTTAGTATCACTTTAAGCCATTAATTTAAAAGACTATTTTTACCTACATGATTCCAGTTGGTTAGGCTGCATCCCTAGCTAAAATGTTATTCATAATTTTATAATTGCCATTATATTTTATACTAGATCCTAATCCCATTTCTCTTTTAAAATCAACCATCAAAGGTTAGTAAACAAATGTGAAAAACTCTAATTTCTACAATAATGTATTCAAATAGACTGTACTTCATTGTCACCTGTATTTGAAAATTGCAGGATCTTGAGAAAAATTACCAGGCATACTTTTAAATGCTCAAACAGATTACCTGATGGACATAAAGCCATCTTCCTTTTTTGTTTCTCTCAATAATTTATTACGAAAGACCGTGTAGACAGGTATCTCAGAAACCCCCAAGAAGTCAGAAGTTGAAAGACCAGTATCACAAGCACAAATGCTCTTACTTAACTATCAGGGCTCTGAGGACTAATCTAGCCATGACCAAAAGGGCAAATTTTGTTGTCTTTGTACAGTCAAAGCTCAGCAGACTTTTCCACTTTTCCCCTACTACTCCTGTTCTGCAGCTAACTCGCTGCCCCCATAAGTTGCTTTGTGATATTTTGCATATTACTTTATTTTTATTTATTATGCCTACTTCCATAGTGATATTGCCTCAGAAACCCAAGGACGGGTAGCTGTGAGTTGGGTTCGACTCGACGGCAAACAACAACGAGGAGCTCTGGTAGGGTAGTGGTTAAGGTATTTGGCTGCTAACCAAAATGTTGGTGGTTTGAACCTATCAGCGGCTCCACAGAAGAAAGATAGGGTAGTCTGCTTCCGTAAAGATTCACAGCCTTGGAAACTCAATGTGGTCGCTGTGAGTCAGAACCAACTTGATCACAGTGGGTTTGGTTTTGGTTTTATTGTGCCTAAGTTTTATTTACCCAGAGCTATTTATGTTTCAAGAAGAATTTGGCACAAGTTACAGAACACATGATAAACACACACAATTCAAATCAGACTTCCCAAGTAGACTGTAAACTTCTTAATGATGATACAAATTCTGTAAATCATAAAATGTAAGGTGTTATGTGTCCTACTCCACATCTCTTTCTCTCTACCCTGTCCTAGATTAGGTACTCAAGGATTTGCAGAGTAAACTAGAAAGCTAACAGAGAGAAAATAAAAATTTGGTCTTAGCTAACTGCATGTTCACATGTAATAAAGGAATAATGGCTGGTTTCTTAAACACAGGAAAATAAAAGAAAAAAACGTGTGCTCTCAGTTCTATGGTATTCTCAAAAGACTGAGGCTATCTGAATTATCTCCAGTTCAAGGAGTCCAGAAAGCTGCACAAACTTCAGATGGCTTTAATTGTCCAAAAATTCTTCTTTCTATTGATTGAGTAGAAATTTGACACTTTGACTGTCAACTTCTACAAGACATTTCAACAGAAATCTAAGTTAGGAAGAAGTACAATATTAACTCTAATAAAAGGATTTTAGATACTGTCTTTAGAGGGCAGTGTTGCTTTAAGCATTAATCCCCCACCAAGCACTGTTAGTTCTTTGGTCAGTTAAGGTTTTGTTGTCTAATGAGCACAGTTTTAGCTTTGTTTTGATCCAAGTGGTCAAAATACCAAGCAAATAAAACACCTGCATGTAAAATGAAGAAGAAACATTTACAAGAGGATCTATTTACACATACTTTTCCATTTCCTCCTGTTTTCTTCCTTATAGCAGGTAACCCACAGTCACTCACCACAGGGCCTCTCCTATTTCTCCTTTCCAGCCATTCATGCTTCCAGGCTGGCATACAGGTTGCCTTCAGTTTCTCCCTGATCATTCGTTCTTCTGGGCGATCATCCATCTTGTGCAATCCTTTGAGAGTTTCTTTATTCTCCATCTCTCGCCTAAAATGGAGGAGAAACAAGGAGAAAAATTTTACATACGAAAAACAATTTCCAAGAAGATAGAATGCTATTATACTTCCATTAGACATATAATTAAAAAGTAAACTGCTTCACAGGAGCCGTAAGGTGAAAACAACCCAACCGTCAGACAACTGATGTACAGATAAACAAAATACAGTATATCCACACAATGGTTGTTATTCAGCCATAAAGAGAAGTAATTCTGATATATGTTGCAATACAGATGAACTCTGAAAATATGCTGAGTGAAATTAAGTCAGACACAGAAGGACAAATACTGTATGATCCCACTTATCTGAAATAAACAGAATAGGCAAATGCAGAGACAAAAGCTTTTAAGTGCCAATGAACTTCATACCCAGACACCACTGGTCTGTCAATGGAGGCTTGTGTGTTGCCTCCAGAAGTTTTACTGGAACTTCCAGACTATGATGGATGAGAACGAAAGGACTGGCTACCTACTTCTGAAAATCAGCTAATGAAAACCCTAGGGATCACAATGGCCCAAGCTACCACTGATGAGGAGCACAGCACAGGGCCAGGCAGCATTTTATCTTACCGTGCAGAGAGCTGCCCTGACTCAAGAACCAACCTGTCAGCAGCTAACAACTAGAGCCCAAGGGAGAAGGGTATATATATGGTATGTGTATTTCACCAAAATAAAATGAATTTTTTAAAAAAAGAATTACTAAATACCCAAAATAAATTTAAGTAAGGTATGAAAACACTGTGAATTATGTATTACTCCACTGTTAAATTTTGAAAGGGGTGTGTTGAATGTTGCTTGATTACGTGAGCTTAATGTCTTTAAAAGGAAAAGGTTCTACTAAGTAGAAGGTGCATGGAGGGCTTACGAACAGTATGGATGATGCCTATAGTTTGTGCGGAACTACTAACCTAAAGGCTGGCGGCTCACACCCCCCCAGTGGCACCGGGAAGAAAGGCCCAGTGACCTGCTTCTGTAAAGATCACAATGCAGAAAATCCTATGGTGCAGTTCTCTCTGTAACTCTGCAGCACGTAAGGTCACCGCCAGGAGTCAGAATGAACTCGATGGCAACAGGTTTTGATTTTTTGTGTCTTTTCTTTTTTTTGGCCCCAGGTAGCTAACAAAGTGGATCCTAAGACAGTTAAACATTGCATTAATAAATACATTCATGAACATACACTGTTCTTATCACCCTAACAGACTCAACCAAGAGACCTGATGGTGCAGTGAGTAGTTAAGCACTCAGCTGCAAACCAAAAGGTCAGCAGTTCAAACCCACCAGCTGGTCCACGTGAAAAGATGTGGCAGTCTGCTTCTATAAAGATTAACAGCCCTGGAAGCTCTCTGGGACAGTTCTAATCTGTCCTATAGGGTTGCTATGAGTTGGAATAGACTTAATGACATGTATACATACATACACTCAAGTATTGTTTAATTTTCTGAAATCAGCTAAATAAATATTTAATAAAGTAGGTGATACCTATTTTCATGATCCTGAAATATTGTTTAGAAGCCCAAATAATTGTATTCTCACAGAGCAGTAATTTCATGACAAAGTGTTTGGACTCCTCTATATCTAAAGAGTAAAAATTATCTGGTACAAACACTTTTACCTGTACTCCTAACACAGTGTGGAGTTCATAGAACAAAACAATCTCTAAACTAGTAGAGTAACTTAGGAGAATTCTACAAAGTCTAACAGGTAAAGTGAGTCTCTGGGTGCTGCAAACAGTTAAGGCACTGGGCTGCTAACCAAAAGGCTGGAGGCTTGCATCCACCCAGAAGCACCTGGAAGAAGGCCTGGTGGTGTTCTTCCCAAAATCCAGCCATTCAAAGCCCTAAAGAGCACAGTTCTAATGGGACATATGGGGGGTCACCACGAGTCAGGATCCACTCTATGGCAACTGGAAGGTAATAGGAAAGCACCCAGCTCAGGGAAACCACTAATTTTAAAAACACTCATACACACATGTGGATACACACACACACAATATGCATATGCGTGGATTTTAAAACCCAGTTCATGAAGAAGTGGATAAAGCAATTGCACTCTGGGAGAAGCAACAATTTTAAAAACACTACACTAATTTCAACAACAATTTTAAAAAATGTTTGCTACAGAACTGTGACTTTCCTATACTGATAGGAAAAGGAAATACTCAAGGAAATACCAGTGATGATAACCTCCAGGTTACTGAAGTCCAATTCAAACTCTTCCAGGAATTTTCCAGCTATGCACAACTATGACGCAGTATCTTCAGAGAGCCAGCACACAATCTACTTAAAAATAAGTATGCACTAGAAAGGAAATGGTTAACTGGTTTTACTAGAGCACCAATATTTTGAAGGGAGTGGAGACCAGTATGTTAAGTAGTCTGTGTTAGAGACTGGGCTAGATATTTTTAGGAATGCAAAGAGCACATATTATTTTGTATGATTTGAAATTTGCAAACAGGCATAGGATTATATATGCAGTAAAGCATTTTCATCACACAGCTATAAAAAACTGTCATATAGAAGAAACTGATTATTATCAACAAAGGTAAGAGCAATATGAGAAGGAAAACAAAATAAAATCATCTACTCCATTGTATTTAGCTATGTTCCCAGCTCTGATGATACTCTAACGTGTGTGTGTGTGTGTGTGTGTGTGTTTGTGTGTATGCGTGTGTATAAGGAAAGGGAAGAGTGTGTGAGAAGGAAGGAAGAAAGGAAGGGAAGTGAGGGATGGTGAGAGTGAAAGGGAAGAGAGTGAGAGGGGAGGAAGAGAAGGACTAAGGGATGAGAGAAGGCAGAGAGGGGAGATGAAGGAGTGGGAGAGGCAGAAGGGAGGGAGGAGGAAGGTCAGGAGGGGAAGGAGGGAGGGAGGTGAGGAACACAGGGATAAAGAGGGAGAGGTGTAGAAAGAAATGTTTTCTCAAAACCTCATCCTGTTCAGTCAACACTTAAAAGAGAAGCCCAGATATATAGACAACTGAATGAGTGGGCTGACTGCATACCAAATATTCACTTACAAGTCCCTAGCTTGAAAAGCAGTGTTCCCCTCCAGTAACAATACTGTAGGGTGTGGTTAGGTTCCCAGACTGTGTTGTTAGGTGCCATCAAGTCACTTCCCAACTCACAGTGACACGATATACAAAAAAATGAACACTGCCCAGACCTACCCCATGCTCACAATCGATGCAGTGCTTGAGTTCATCGCTGCAGCCACTCCGTCAATCCACCTTGTTGAGAGTGTTTTCACTGACCCTCTACTTTACCAAGCCTGATGGCCTTCTCCAGGGATTGGTCTCTCCTGATAACATGACTGAAGTACGAGAGATGAACTCTCAGCACTCTTGCATTTAAGGAACACTCCAGCTGTCTACAAGGCAGATTTGTTTGTTTTTCTGGCAGTCCTATGGTATATTCCGTATTCTTTGACAATACCATCATAGAAATGCATCAATTCCTCTTCAGCTTTCCTTACCCACTCTCCAGTTTTTACACGCATAAAACGCTACTGAAAAGGCTGTGGCTTCAGTCAGGCACATCTTAGTCTTCAAGGTAACATCTTTGTTCTTAAATACTTTAAAAAGGTCTTTTGCAGCATAGTTACTCAATGTAGTATGTCACTTGATTTCCTGACTGCTGTTTCCATGGGTGTTGATTGTGGATCCAAGTAAAATGAAATCTTTGACAGCTTCCATCCTATTTTAGTCACTTCTCAAGAAGTAAGCCACAGAGTGGGCACCTTCACCCAGCAGCACCTACACTCCTAATAGTGAGCTCACCTTCTTCCCTCTGGGCCTGGCTGTCTCCTCGCCCATATTTGCGCTTCATGACTCTCTTCTTCATTCTGAATCTTCACTGTCTCTCTTCCTGAAACCCGCCCAAACACGCAAAGGGTGACTCTCCTTCTTCAAACTTACCATTTCCTGGCTGATGTGGCCGCCTTAAAGTCTCCATTAGTTGGCTTTTTCCTTTCCATTTTCTGAAAACACTATAACCTTTTAAGCCACTTTCTTATTAATAAATAATATGGAGATGAGTATAATAGTAGTTGAACTTTTGACACAGCCAAGATTATTTCTTTAGAATAAATGCCCAGAAATAGAATTGCTGGGTCAAAATGCGTACAAATAAAGAATTTTGATAATACTAGGAAATTATCTGCAAGAAAATTTAACTTCCATTCACAACCCCAGGTGAAGGGTCCCCAATCTGGTCCGAATCAGTGACAAACTCCTAACGTGGCTCCCCACAACTTTGAAGAGTACGCCTATCCAGTCCAGGTTTCATAGAGCAGCCAGGGTCACATCCCTCATTAAAATCATCCAAAGGTTACCCCTGGCTTAGACTAAAATTCAAAATGCTTAAAATGGCCTATAAGGGCCTATACCATTTGGATTTGCCTCAACTCACGTCACCCTGACGTCTACCCTGCTGTCCAACTTCTTTCACTATCTCAAAAACTCCAAGATCTTTCCTTCCCCAGACTTTGCACAAGCTACTTCCTAGTCTGTCTACTTCTCATCTAGCTCATTTTTACCCAACATTCTGGTTTCAGTTCAGCTGACCTCCTCCAAAAGCTTCCTGATCTCAATCAGGAACTCCCACTTCACTTCTCTCACAGCACTTCAACTCTTCCTTCAAAGCACTCATAGCAACGTGCAAGCTCATTCTTATTTTATGTGTGACTATTTAAAACCTATCTTCCTTGCATTCTCATAAACTGTAAGCTTCATGAGAGTAGCAACCATGTGTTTTATGCATCACTATATACCCAACATCTAACAATGTCTGCCTCAAAATAGATATGCAATAAATAGATTAAGTGAACGATCAGTTATTAACATCTTGTGCAGTCCGAAGTACTTTCCTATTTTTAAATTTTAATGTTATTCATCTTTTTATAGTTCTGTTTTTAATTAAGACTAAATTTGCAATTCAGATGTTATTCAGTAGAACAATTTTCATTGCTTCTAAATTAATTTGTAAATATAAACCAG